ATGGAGAAAGCCAGAGAGTTCCAGAAAAATATCTACTTCTGCTTCATTGACTATGCAAAAGCCTTTGACTGTGTGGACCACAGCAAACTATGGCAAGTCCTTAAAGAAATGGGAGTGCCTGACCACCTTATCTATCTCATGAGAAACCTATATGTGGGACAGGAAGCAACAGTTAGAATGGGATATGGAACAACTGATTGGTTCAGAATTGGGAAAGGAGTACGACAAGGCTGTATATTGTCTCCCAGCTTATTTAACTTATATGCAGAATACATCATGCAGAAGGCTGGACTGGAGGAATCCCAAACCAGAATAAAGATTGCTGGAAGAAATAGCAACAACCTCCGATGTGCAGATGATACCATTCTGATGGCAGAAAGTGAGGAGGAATTAAAGAACCTTGTAATGAGGGTGAAAGAGGAGAGTGCAAAAAACGGCCTGAAACTCAACATCAAAAAAACTAAGATCATGGCCAGTGGTCCCATCACCTCCTGGCAAATAGAAGGGGAAGATATGAAAGCAGTGACAGATTTTATTTTCTTGGGCTCCATGATCACTGCAGATGGAGACAGCAGCCACGAAATTAAAAGATGCCTGCTTCTTGGGAGAAAAGCGATGACAAACCTTGACAGCATCTTAAAAAGCAGAGACATCACCTTGCCAACAAAAGTCCAAATAGTCAAAGCTATGGTTTTTCCTGTCGTGATGTATGGAAATGACAGCTGGACCATAAAGAAAGCTGACCGCTGAAGAATTGATGCCTTTGAATTGTGGTGCTGGAGGAGGCTCTTGAGAGTCCTCTGGACTGCAAGGAGAACAAACCTATCAATTCTAAAGGAAATTAAACCTGAGTGCTCACTGGAAGGACAGATCCTGAAGCTGAGGCTCCAATACTTTGGCCATCTCATGAGAAGAGAAGACTCCTTGGAAAAGACCTTGATGTTGGGAAAGTGTGAAGGCAAGAGGAGAAGGGGACGACCGAGGATGAGATGGCTGAACAGTGTCATTGAAGCAACCAACATGAATTTGACACAACTATGGGAGGCAGTGGAAGATAACGGGAGGCAGTGGAAGATAGGAGGGCCTGGCGTGCTCTGGTCCATGGGGTCACGAAGAGTTGGACATGACTAAACGAACAAATGAAAAGAAAATATCATGATTCATGAAGTTGGACATTTCCCTATCTGATGTCAGCTTCACTACTGTAATGCCATGTCTGAAGGAAGGAAAAGGAAAATAGAAAAATTCCTTGCAAACCAAGTAGAGCATGACACTGTCTGTCAAATACTGTTTCTAAATATATGATTTGATGCTACAGAGTCAGAGCATATACTAAAGACATTATTGTGAACATGTTTTTTCAAAAACAGTATGTATATCCATAACCAGCACTGCTCCTCAAAGCAACAGTAAATGAGATTATCCTATTTTAATCCTATCACTGATGTTTTTTACAAGCTGAGGCCACAAGTTTATTTATTTAAAACACCTTAAGACATCATTGTGGACACTCTTGTCATAATGCCTAACCAATTAAGAGCATCACAAAATATGTGCAATTTAATTTAATGTGAGCCAGCGTAAGCCTCTATTTGAAATACAAGACATCTTATCTTCAAGTATTTATTAGATTCATCCAGCATTTTTTAGAACTGTGTATTGTTTTGCCTATTAAATTTGCTAAAATTTATAGAAACTCTGTTCTGGAACATAAACCAACTGATTTCCATAAAGCTGAATTTCATTAAACATTGTCTTGACTCACTTTGTAAGTTCATGATCAGAAAGAAGATGTTTCAGGTGTCTAGACAGTAATTTCTTTTCCATGGAGAGTCGAACCCAAGCTCTAGCCTTACCAACATCTGTTTTGATCTCACTAATATTTTGGATATGCCTGAAACGGGTAAAAAACAGATTATAGTATTATAATTACTTCACTGAGTTAGGGAAGGATTTCATAGGAATGTAAATGGTTATGAAAAATAATTTAACACTTAAAACAAACTCTTTCACTACCTTTACTATATATTTGCTACGAGCCACAGAAGACTGTAAACCAGTCTTCTGTAAATTAATCTTATTTGAAAATGCTTTTATTAAACAATCACAATTCAGTTCAATGTACAAGGCTAAAGAAAATTACTAAGCATCATGAATAATAAGATTAATTTCCTAAAATACTAGAGACTGTATTCAACATGACTGTGTATTTTAGTCACTTCTGTATTTTAGTCACATATCCAAACCATAAAAATTAGACATGGGATATTCATATTCGTATCCCTGGGGATACAAATATGAATATTGGCACCAGAGGTGACAAGGAAAACCGGGTCCTCCTACCCAAACCAGCAGGTTCACTTACCGCTCTCCACATGGCCTATGCAGCCAGCATCATTCTCCTTGTGTCAATCTGGGAAGCAGCCCAGCTGTGTTTCCCCACCTCTCCACATAGCCAACCACTCCAATGAGGAGGCAGGAATAACAAGTCTCCCCACTCAGCTGTTGAGCATGACAAGAACGATGCCAGCCACACACACTGTGGACCTGCCAGTTTCATGGGGGAGGGTCTGATTTTCCTAGACACCTGTGGTGCCTATATTCATATTTGTATCCTCAGGAATATGAGCACAAACATTCCCATGTTTGTAAAATAGGCTTGTCCTTTTCTATATAATTTTCAGTTGGTGCAGCCTGATTATGTGGACAGGGTGGAGAGATGAATGCCACCACATGTGTGCTGTGTACTGTGCCCCCAGTGTGCACAGTACACAGATAACTAACTGCCAGTCAGAAACATCCCATTCCTAGGCAAGGTACTGGAGTGTGTGGTGGTTTCTCAGCTCCAGGGATTATCAATTTGATTTCAGTCCTGGCTATGGGACAGAGACAGCTTTAGTCACCTTGGTGGATGACCTATGTCAGGAACTGGACAGGAGGAGTATGTCCCTGTTGATTCTGCTGGACCTCCCATAGGCTTTTGATACCATCAACCACAGTATCCTTCTGGGCTGTCTCCTGGGATGAGACTCGGAGGCACTCTTTTACAGTGGCTCCAGTTCTTCCTGGAGAGGAGAACTGAGAAGGTGGTGCTGCATGACTCCTGCTCAATGCCCTGGCCATTGGCCTGTGGCGTTCCTCAGGGTTCTGCTTTGTCACCCATGCTTTTTAACATCTACATGAATCCACTGGGAAAGGTTGTCCAGAGTTCAGCTGGATGAGGGCAAAGAAACTTCAGCTGGTGCAAAACTCTGCAGCCAGACTACTGACTGGGGCCAGCTACAGGGAGCATATAACGCACCAGGTACAAGAACTGCACTGACTACCAGTCCGTTTCTGAGCCCAATTCAAAGTGCTGGTCATTACCTATAAAGCCCTATACAGCTTGGGTCCAGGCTACCTGAAGGACCATATCTCCCTATATGCACCTTCTCGGAGATTAAGATCAGCAGAGGAGGCCCTCCTCTCAGTCCCATTGTCAGCACAAGCACAGCTGATGGGGACACAGGAGAGGGCCTTCTCTGTGGAAGCGCCCAGGTTATGGAATGTACCTTGGGAGATCAGGATGGCCCCTTCCCTTTTATCCTTTCAAAAAAAGCTAAAGACCCATCTCTTCAGGCAGACTTTTAACAGTTATAACTGAATCCCTGAACCCCATTTCTGCAGCTAGTTTTAATCTTTTTCATGTTTTCATGTCTTAATCTTTTAATTTTATACCATATATTGTTTAATTTGTCTTTTAATATTTAACTTATTGTGTTTTTAATTGTGTGGATTTTAATGTTGTGAGCCGTTTTGGGTCCCTGATGAAGCAGGAAATCTGCAGGTAAAGCATTCCTAAGAAATTATTATCCAACCTCTGTTTACAAACTTCCAATGATGCAGAGATTACTACCTTCTGGAGCGGGCCATTCCATTGTCAGACAACTCTAATACTGCAGATTTTATCCCCTGCAGTTCCTAAACATCCACAAGCGAAGACTCTTCCCCTCCCCTCTCCTCACTTCTGTCCTCTGCTATCACTCAAAAATCTGGCCTCTGGAGCAAATATTGAGGGCTGCCAGTGGCAGAAAGGAATTCCCTCCAATTATATATGTTGATACATTCCTCCTGTCAGCACATGTACCCAACCAGATCCTGGCCCATAAATTACAACTGGCTTCCATATTCTGCCTTGTTTAGAAGCCACTAACCATGGTTCTTGACTTAAATAGAATCTATATGGAAATTGCTGAATCCTGCTTTGTTTTCCTCCAAGTTCAAAGGGAATAAGGTGGTTGCATCCAAGTGAATGCAGATTCATCTTGCTTTATTAAACTGAGATCTAAGAATATAATTTCACTGATGTGTATCTCTGTCGGATGAAGCAAATTGCCTATGAAAGCTATGCTAAAATAAATTAATAACAAAACATTTTGCGACACTTCATATTGTTCACAGAGCAGTTTTCTACTATGTTTGATTTAGGCCTTTGTCTTGTGCCTGCAAAGTGCTATGAGTGCAAAAGAACTAATTTTAAATAATTGTTGAAAATGTTATCTTTAACTTATTATTATTATTACTTTAAGATTCTGATTGCAATCCTTAATCCACTTACTAGGTATCTGTACATGCTTCTGAGTGCTCAAAAGTATGTTGTTGTTTTGTAATTAAACAGTATATTTCAACTCTGGAGCAAGATAAAAGAAAACACTTCAAAAGCACTATTTTAAAGCTAAGCTATCCTTAAAATATAAGTAACTTTTTCTAATTTTTTTAAAAAAAAACTTTTAAAATTCCAACCTCATGTCCTGGATGAGAGATACTCTTAAGGGAGACATTGCTGGACTGGCATCTGACTTCCTTCTTTCTGCATCTAAAAGAATTCCTAAAATAATACCAAACATTCTCTTTTAGTGCTGAACAAGGCAAATGTCTTAATCCTCATCATAATTTTAATATTTTTCTGTTTCTGCTGCCACCAATATAACCCCAACAATTCTGAACTTCAAAGTGCTATAAAATTGACATCTAGTATGACATGGGGCTTGCAGTGAAATTGCAAACACAAAACTGCTGAAATGGAATTATGCAGAAAGTTGGGATTTGATATGCACAGAACTGATGTGTAGGACAGAATATCATGTTTGGAAACAACATCTAATGATAAAAATGCATTAACACAATAATAGTCTTAGAACAGCATTGCTGGAAGGGACCCTATGGATCATCAAGTCTAGCCCCTGTCAAGAAGGCACAGTGGGGAATTGAACTCCCAACCTCTAGTTCCTCTGCCAGATACGCAAACCACCAAGCTATTCAGCAGTTCCAGAATCTTGTGTAATCTGAATTAGACCTGTTACTTTAGTCGCCATTAGCTTTGCTTAACACAACACAGCCTTTTACTAGCATCTGATACTGTACTGATTTCACTAGTTTTTTTTTTTAACATCTCGCAACAACTACACTTTAATTTTCTGTTGGTGCAATAATTTGGCAAGACTAGCTAAAATATATTTCAAACACTGACAACAATACCTTTTCTCAGAGCAGACTGTTAAAACAGCAATATAAAATAGCATTTAAAAATAATGATAACAAGCAGAATATTTTTAATTGCATTGAGTATTAATATCTATTTGATGGAGGACTCTGCAAGTTTTGGTGCAAACAATCTCATTTGTGACATTTCTCTATTCAAAATGACAATATTTGTAATCTTCATGCAAGCAAATTATACCTGAGGTGCTGAAGCTTCCAGATGTAGGTTTTCTTTGCCTGTTTTCTTGGTAATGTAACAAGTGTGACCACAAAGCAGATTTCCCCTAAGATTTGGGGGGAAAACACTTTTTAAAATTCAGCATAAATTACTTATCAGAGCATTCTGTATTTCTTGAATTTTTTTTTCAAGGAAAGCAATCATGGAATATTTCTCCTCTAAGACTAAAGCATTCAAAATACAGAATATAAAAATAAATATAAGTGTTTGAACAAAACACTCAAACTTTGTAAATAAATATTGAAAAGATAAATGTGGAAATAAAGTTAAACAGAACTATTCATATGTGTGTACTAAAAGAACTTGCATTACTCCACAATATAGGATATGAGGCAAAGAGTACCCATATACAGTAGGTTCTTGCATGTTGGAATGCTGCCCCCTATGCTCTAAAACAGCCTTTTTCAACCTGGTGCCCTCCCATCAGCCTCAGCAAGTATGGCCAGTTGTCAGTATTAGAGATGGGCATGAATCAGGAAAAAATGGCAATTTATTTTGATTCATGATTCATCAATGTCAACAAATCACAAATAACAAATTTACATTTTTTCTGATAAATCAGCCTTTAAAACCCTATAAAATTGCCCCCAAGCACCTGCAGACACCAGTATCATGGAAAAGCTTCCCCTGACTCTCCTCTACAAGGCCTGTAGGTTTTGTGAAGCTTGCATTTTGGACATCCAACTTATACACCCACAAAGATGTCCCCCCAGAAAAGTTTCCCCCATCACCTAGAGAACCAAAATGTCAACCAAATTGACTCTCCCTTACAATCTCTCCAAGCTGGTGAAGACTAGGTTTCAGATATCCAAGTTATATAAAGTGGTTCCCCTCCCCACAGGAAAGTGCCCTTTAGCAGCTGGCTTGAGGAAACCGAAGCTTCCCCAAACTTGGAGGGACTGTAGAGCAGTGGTTCTTAACGTGGGCGATAATGCCCCCCAGGGGGCGATTTCATTTTTCAGGGGGGCGGTAGAACGAAAAGGGGAGGCGTGGGGGCGCTGGAGCAAGCCAAACCTGTTAAGATGGCTGCAGCCTTTTTACAGTACAGTGTGCATGAATATATATTTTCCTCCAATCTTAATTTAGTTTCAGAGTTTTCGTCTTGAAATTTTTAGTTCCTGCATTGTGGTTTGTTTTCATGCCCTTTTTATATTTCTTTTTGCATCTTAAAATTCACTTGCAACTAAATCATTAAATGTTCCTTTTGGGGGGCATTTCATTTTCTTGGAATTGAATTTTGTTTTCAGGGGTCATTGGATTTAAGTGTCATAAATAAATAAATAAATAAATAAGATATCATCATCGTGGGGAGGGGGGCCATGATAACTTCCTCAATGGTTCAAGGGGGCGTTTCTTTCAAAAGGGTTAAGAACCACTGCTGTAGAGGAAAGTCAGGGAGAACTCTGCAGCAATTTTGGTGTCTCTAGGTGCTGGGGGACATTTTATAGTCCAACAAATCAAAAATCACTAAAAAAATTCATTGATTCATATTCGTTGGAGCATTGATTTGTACAAACATGAATCTAGTGGTTTCTGATGAATTTTGCAATTCATTTTTTAATTTGTGCCAATCTCTACTCAGAATACCAGCAGTTATAGTCTAAGGGCTCAATTACACTGCAGTTTGCCCTGCTGTCATTGTCGATTTCAAGTTATTTTCTGTCAACTATGCAAAGTACAGCCTATGGCAAGTATTTCCACTCCTTTCCCATCATTCATTACATTTTATTCGGCCAGCAAAAGATACAATTTTTGTGGCAATTCCATTCATATCACTTTGTTTCATTTCTGGCATGTGTGACTGCCTACATATCAAATGCTACTGACAGTGATATCTTGTACAGTGATATCTATCCACCTCTCATATTTCCTTGGAATTCTATTTTTTTAAATGCTACTGGATGTGTCAGTGTTCTCCTCTTTGATCTGTCACATGTACATCCTTCCATGATGAACACTAATTCCCGCCTTTCTCCATCCTTCTCATTTTAATTAAGTTGCAAGAACTTGACCATGCCAAATAAGAGAGGCTTTTCACATACACCTGTCTTTAAAAAAAATGGACACAATTTGCACAATTCTCTAGAGATCACCACCAATGTCACTTTCCACCAAGCCATTGGAAAGACAAAAGCATCCTGACATGTCCGGATAAGTTACTCCGCTCTCCACAATTCCAAGTCCCCTTGTAAAGAGATAGGCACAATTATGCATATTGGTGCACCCACAAAAGATCATCCTGTTTTTTTATTTAAATGAAGTGCCATTATCCCCATCTTAAACCATCCTATTTCCATCACACAGACTACAGTTTTAGTTCTGCTCTGTGCTAGGTTGACAACATGTTATTTCAAGTCAGCACTATATAATCTGGCAATATTTTTAAGAAAGGCAAGTAATTGGAGCAATAGATGCAGGACAGATGAACGGGAGGGAAGAACAGAAGGGGTGAGGAAGAAGACAGTGGGAGGCTGTGCTTCAGTTAAGAATTACAACATACAGTGTGGACTCTAGCAGAACATCTCCTCAGGATAATTATGTGTTTCCATGTGAATGATGATATTTTCATCAGCAGAAACAACAAGGGTCATGGTACAGAAAACTCTGAATCAACTCACAACAATCTCCTTGTGTACAAAAGCCGTTAAATATCAGGAAAATGACAGAATGGGAAAGGGAACTTCAAAGCAATTTATGCATGGAAATGACCCTCAGTTATAACAGTATTATGACTGCATCATAAATATTAATGTACATGGAAAAAAGTGCCAGATTAAGTAATTCCTTATTTTAAAAGGAAACTGCATTATTCTCAGTTTTGATACCTTCCCACTGACAAAGATACATATGATGAATCTGTACAAGCTAGTGAAATTTTGAAAAGAGAAATATGTATTTCTATGCTAGCTCCAATCTCTGTGCCCTTCTGAGAACCTGTCAAGTTAATGATTTTTACAATGAGAGCTTGAGAAGATGTCAATCTGTGTAGTCTTGGGCAAGCTGGAAACCAAGAGCACCACCACAAGAATAGGCTGGCAAACCACTACTGACTGTTTTATACCTAAGAAACCCTGGCAAGAATTGCCATAAATTGAAATTGACTTGGTGGCACATTTTTAAAAAGGCATACTATCTTCAAAAGGAAAATTGTCACTTGGTAAAGCGGCTCACTTGTCTCTTTTATCTGACTTCGGCTCATATTTGACTACTGGACAGTTTGTCTTTATTCTCTTCAAAGATTCATGTTATTTTTTTATTGTAGCAGAAAGGCTGCAGTTCTATGCACACCAACTTCAAAATGGCCCTGTAAAGCCAGTTAAATTTACTGAAATTAAACATGCATAGGTTGGGACTACTTACATGTACAGTACCTCTGCCCTACAGCATCACATTTCTTATAGAATATGTTTTAATTAACATAATGCTTCATATGCCTATAACTCACAGATATCTGTAGGTATCTTACTGGAAAAGGCTGGTAACAAGGGCAAGAGTACAGCTCAACCAAAAGCAACATCAATTCTAGCCTTTGTGTCTGGCATCAAGTGTCTAAAATATGTAGACAGGGTCAAGACCACAAAGACTCTGAACATGTCTGGAAAGTGGATCCCCTGAGGAATTCAATAGAAGCAACTATGACTTCGGTGGGATGGCTGCATATTCCAGACGTTAGTAGAAGTTAGGCCAGCCAACACTTTACTGAGCTCTACAGTTTTCTGAGAGAGGCTCTGCGCAAGCACCCAACCCTTATCTGGGAGAGTCACAGAGATCACAGTAAAGAACACAACCCCAATCTTACATAATACGTAGAGCCATAATTAGACCAATTTGACCATTTGTTGTGTTGTTATGTGATGTCATGCAACTTCTGACTTAATATCATAATGACATTTGTTATACAGCATAACATTTAATCCCTAAGAATGATTGTAAAGCAAGACACTGTAAATCAAACTCTATTTTCCCATTAAGATCAATAGCAAAGTAGGGGTTTGTTTCTTGGAGAATTTTCTTCCATTATAAATGAAACCTCTTGTTTCTTTTCTCTTACTTGCCTGCTTACTGGTAGCTCCCTCTAACCATCTCTGTCTTTTCTCCTTCACATCTCCTCTCTCTTTGTTACTGGGCACCTCTCTGCCTTCTTTCTTTTTCACTTTTTTTGCTACGAATTGCCAAGAAATCTACCACTAAATTTTATTCTCTCAAAGCTGACTTTTAAAGCATGACAGAAACGGAAAAAATATATATGGGGAGAGAGAAAGAAGGAAAAATATTCTGATGAAACTTTGGGTGAATATAAAGGGAGCACTGGGCTCATGGGTGCTCTACTATCTCTTCTTTGCCAGCCCAAGCACATGGGGATCAAAATGTCATCTTCCATTTTGCATGAAAAATGCAGGTATGTACAATGCTTTTGGCACCAGGTGTTTCATCCAGTGTTGGCTTGTATAAAGGGTCTGCATATGCAGGAACATATCTTGTGAATATTTCAGTTTAAGAATGAGAAGTGGTCATCTGAATACAGCTTCTGCTTGTGGCATACCATGACGTCAACTTCATAACATATTATATTAACAGTTTGAGCGGGAGTAGGAATCTGGCACTTCCAGGTGTTGTTGGGTTACAACTCCAATAATCCTCCTGATCATTGCCAATGCTGGCTGATGTGTATGGGAGTTATAGCCCAAAACATCTGAGGGCATCTGGTTGCCTACACTTGCATTAAAGAGCAAAAGGATTCCAAAAAGAAGGAGTGGAAGGCACTTTAAATTCTAATGAGGATTTTTGTGGTGGTCCTGTGATACTACTATTACTTCTACCACCAATCAGACAAAACAAAGAAATTTTACATTATTGTAAACAATTATATCTCAATATAACACATATATATTATACAACATGTATGCTGGCTCCAGTGCTGGAACAGATCATATAAAGACCACAAAAGCCTATGTGAGCAGACAACAAATGAAAATCAGACTATATGAAATTATGACTCAATAGATCATATGATGGATAACTATTCGTAGATATGTGAATAAAGCTAAAGGACATGACATGCACAGAACAGAGATTATGCCACCGAAGGAAAAATTCCCTCAGAACTGACAGGCAAGACTCTTATACATCTCATAGGGACAATTAACAGGATTGATAAGTATGAGGTTGAAGTCACAAATGGAAAAGAAACTGATAGCTAAGTAGTCTAATGTGCTCTAACAGCAGGGGAGTAAGCAAAAGCTTATACAGTGGGGTCTTGACTTGGGAACTTAATCCGTATTGGAAGGCGGTTCTCAAGTCAAAAGGTCTGTAGGTCAAGTCTCCATTGACCTACAGTGCATTGAAAACCGATTAATCCCATAACAGGCTGTTTTTGTTCCATTTTGGTTTTTTTCTGGTCTGTAAGTCAATTCTCAGGCTGCAAGTCAAACCTAAATTTTGCGGCCAGAGAAGTCTGTAACTCAAAAAGTCTGTAAGTCAAGCCGTCTGTAAGTCAAGGGTTCACTGTAGAGGGTACTGCAGGCAGCTATCTCCATAGACCTATGAAAAGGCATAATCTTCTACTGAAGATTACTCAAAAATTATATTATAGGACTAGGCTTCTGTGGTTGAAACAAAACTTATTTTACAAGGAGGAATTATTGTACTTCTTAAAATATTTATTCAAAAATGTTTGGTTGTTTTTGCACTTCTTCCTTCACATGCCTAAATACTCTACCACAACAGACCGTGCAGCACTGTTTGCCAACATCTTCAATCAATCCAAAAAATTAACCTTATGTAGGGTTGGCCGCTTGCTGGTCTGAAAGGCCCAAATCTGAGTTGTAGCAGAGTATAATGATGCTTTATCTTCTAGGATGAAAGTAGTACAGCTTCTATCCTATGTAGCATATAAGAGGGAAGGTAAGAGTCAGACAATAAACACCTACACACACAAGGCACTGATACACCTAAAAGTCATTTCTGCATAAGTGATCAGTAAAAGATCAAGAAATTATTTCAAAAGACACTAATGTCACAGTAAATGTTAACTCCTTTGTATTCACGCATAAACACAGAGAAAATCCATCAGCACTATTCCTCTAAAGAAAACAGAATACCCATATATCAAGCAAACTTTTGTAACATCATTTTATTATCTTCTAACTAAATTGACAACAAAAATAAAAGAACAGGAGAAAAGATCTAGGTTAGATCCTGAATTATTGTCAACAAAGTCTTGGCTGTAGAAAAGGTCCCTCAGCATGAATGCATGGAGAAGAAGAGTTTTGCCAGTCCCCCTCTCCTCTTGTAGCTCCCTATATGCTGCTAAAAAACAACAACACTGTGCTCCAGAGATTTGGGAGTCCTCTTGAACAATAGGGAGGTTAGAGGGTTGGTGGAAACTAGAGGGTCATAAAAAATCTGGGGAAAAAATCCCCCTTTGTTCATGGGATCTTGTACCTACTGCAACTCTCACTATTGAATTAAACAGTTTGCCACTGAGAGTTCTTCTCTTACATTTAACATCCTAGATCCTGTTCAAAAATGTATGTACACCTTGCAGTTCAAAATTCATAACAATATAGAAAGAAGGTGCATTTTAAAAGAGCCATAAATATTTGCAGCAATTATAAAGTATCAATTTCATTCCTACCTGTTTCACTTGCAGACCATGGCTCCATATCCTTTCCAAGAGATCACAAAGACTGGCTATTAGTGTGTTTTCTTCTACACCTGTAATATTCACTTCACCATGACCAAGTTCTACTGCTTCACGACCCATTTTTTCCACTAGCATCCTCTTTGTCTTTTGAGACAAAAGAAAAACAAAGTGAATAGCTTTTTGACAGATGAACTACTAAGACTCACTTAGAATTGAATCACTACATTTGCATTGCTCAGCTGACTCTTTAGTATGAAACACACTGGCTGAAATCCTGTCCTATAAATTACACTGCCTAAGGCTGATCATGTCATCAGCCACTGTAATTTTTCATAAATAAAACTTTCAATTTCCCCCTGAAGTTTTCTGTTTTTATTTTTTTAATATACTGTATTACAAACAAAAGATACACACAACTAAACATCAAACAACACTTAATAACAAAAATTTAAATAACAATCACAATCATAACTCAAATATACAGTTTACCCTACCACCTTCAGGAATATATATGTATGTATATCATCATCAATACATTTTGTCTATATTTATATAATGTGCACCAGCTCTTTCCAAAAATATAATTATGCTTTTGTTGGGGTATAACCGTTATGTTTAATAAATATATGTTCTAAAAAAGCATTCCAGATCCCATTAAAATTGATTTCTTTCAACAATCCTTTTTAACTTTCAATCTGGAAGTTAATTTATCATTAATAGCTAGATTCCACATCTCATTATATCATTCTTCCAAACTCAATTATTATTTTCCCAATTCTTTGCAAATATCAGTCTTGCTGCTATTAACATAATAGTTTCATTTTTCCTCTAATTGACTGTTTCCAAATATATTTAATAAAGCTATCATAGAACATATTTGTATACTGGTCCCTATAATTTCCTTAGTCTCATTGAAAACAATCATCCATTTCTTCTGTCTCTCTTCACACTTTCACCACATGTGATATGTTCCCCTTTTTTTCTTACATCTCCAACATATAGATGGTATATCGTTGTTCATTATATTTAATGTCATTGGTGTTAAATAACATCTCCATGTTACTTTACCCTAACTGACACTTTTTTCATTCTTCTTCTTCACAGATCATCTCCCATGCTTCTCCACTCATTTCTTTATTTAAATCTACTTCCCATATCTCTTTCAAAGCTATTGTTTTATATTCATCCTCTACTAAATTCTTATATATTGCATTTACTATCCCTTTTCTTTGATTATCTTCCATCCCTTCCCTCTTTTCAATAATCTCTTCAAATTTAGCCATCCCCCTACATTGTCCTTCCTTTCTCCCCCATTTATCTGTCTGTCTTACATTCAACCAGGTAATTCCTTCTTCTCCCAATGTCTATTTTATTCTCTATATATTATACATCTCCTTAATCCAATCTTTAATTTTTATAGCTTTCTTTGCCGACAAAACACTAATTTTTTTCCTTCAGATTATTTGGAAAACTGCGTAATTCTACCGCATGTATCAATGGGGAAATCTTTGGACTCAATATTCTCCTGTACAGTACTTCTTCCAACATTGCAACATGTTACTTAAAAGTGGGTTATCTGTGTTTTTAATAATATCCATTAAATTTTCCTTAGAAAACAATTTTTTCCATATTTTCCCTAATCTTGTTCAACTCCAAATTACTCCATATTATTCCCTTATTGTTTACTATAATTTCTGGCATATGTTTCAATTGATGAGCTGTGTAATATAATTAAATATCAGGTATACCAAACCCTCAATTCTTTTGAGGAAGATACCATTATGACCTTTCATTTTCATTACAATACATATTAATCAAATTCTGCAATTCTTTTAATTCCTTATCACCTATCTTTATAGGTAACATCCAAATTTAAAAATTTAGTTTAGAGATAATCTTCATTTTTACCACAGCTATTCTTCCAAACCAAGATCAGTTCAACTTTTGATATTCTTTAGTTTGTTCTTTAATTTTTTTTCATTTTGTCTAAATTCATTTTAATAATTTCTTCAAATTCTAGGTAATATTTATCTCTAAGTACCAAATTGTTGTTGTTTAGTTGTTAAGTTGTGTCCGACTCTTCATAACCCCTATGGACCAGAGCATGCCAGGCCATACTGTCTTCCATGCCTCCCATAGTTGTGTCAAATTCATGTTGGTTGCTTCGATGACACTGTCCAACCAGATCTCATCCTCTGTCGTCCCCTTCTCCTCTTCCCTTCACTCTTTCCCAACAACAAGGTCTTTTCCAAGGAGTCTTCTCTTCTCATGAGATGGCCAAAGTATTGGAGCCTCGGATTCAGGATCTGTCCTTCCAGTGAGCACTCAGGGCTGTTTTCTTTCAGAATAGATAGGTTTGTTCTCCTTGCAGTTCAGGGGACTCTCAAGAGCCTCCTCCAGCACCACAATTCAAAAGCATCAATTCTTCAGGAGTCAGCCTTCTTTACGATCCAGCTCTCACTTCCATACATTATTACTGGAAAAACCATAGCTTTGACTATGTGGACCTTTGTCGGCAAGGTGATGTCTCTGCTTTTCTAAGATGCTGTCTAGGTTTGTCATTGCTTTCCTCCCAAGAAGGAGGCATCATTTAATTTCATGGCTGCTGTCACCATCTGGAGCCCAAGAAAGTAAAATCTGCCCCCATATCTTCCCCTTCTATTTGCCAGGAAGTGATGGGAGGTGAATTATACTTAATTCAGGACAAACCTAGCCTTGATCAAGGAATGGATCTGCCATAAACACTGCTGTGCACTTTTGCCAAGTACAGTGTTGTTGTTTTCTTCTTCACAGCATCACAGTAGGTTTATTCATGCTCCAACAAATGTATCAGTTAAACCTCTGCAACTAATGTGGTTGGTTTTGTGACCTATTTTGTGCTGAAAGGGGAGAAAATACAGCTTTACTCTTGCCATTCTTGCTATATAGCAACTAAACCTTCTGCGGATTAGTGGCATTCAACCCCAAATGTCAACTCTCTACATGTATTTGGTATGACCTCAAGTGATTTGGGGAAGAAAAATGCATCCGTGCTTATTATATGCCAGGTGAATGGTTTAAGATAACAACGAGCAATACTGTAGCTTTCTAAGAAATTGGAGTGTCCATACTGATAATAAACGTGGGAAATGCTCGAGGATTGGGACAGTCTGATTTGCATTTTTTCCGTTTGACCACATAATGCAGAATGAAACATGAATCAGCTCAGAGCCCTCTCCCCTCATCTGTAGTTTTAGGCTCCACTGCCAAAGCTCAAGAATGGAGAACAAATCTTCTCTCCATTGGTAAGAGATTTTTTTTTCTAAAATAAAAGATGAATAAAAGAGGATGAATAATAAAATCTTGTTTCCAGCTTCTTAGGTAGTCCCTTTTTAATACTGCCACCTGCAGGACTATAAATAGAGCTGCAAACAAGTCTGTCTTCTCCCTGTGTGGTCAGTTAATGCGAAGAGACCAGGGAATACCTGAATTCCCAGGGCAACTTCACAGTGAGTAAATGCAAGGGAGTGTGTGTTCCCCTCACTGTGTAGGCACACCCATAGCTGAGTATCTTGAAGTGCAACTCATTCTATAAATGTCCACTGGGAAAGAAAGTTGAATGGAATTTTGCTCCTAGGTGAGTGGGTGTACATTTGTAGAGCTAATGTTTTTATTAGACATGTATCTTCATGCATAAATTACAAATGTTGAAAGATCTGCCTGCTGCTGGGCTATGATCTACTAGCCAGCTAACAGGCACTCTTTGGAGTCCTAACATCCAAATATCTG